TTTTTTGATATTTTAATTTTGAAAATCATCTTCGAATACGTCTTAACAACATCGCCCACGTGACGACTACGTGATCATATTTAAACAGAACGCTGATCTGTATAAAATTTCAGTTATCTGTCTGAATTAGTTGGGCTCTTATGTCCATCGTCTTTTGTGTTAAATTGTTATAAGTTATAATGTTAATTATGTTTAAATGAAAATGACCATGTAGATGGTCTTAAATAGACCGAAACGTCCGACGTCGACTTTATTTTAACATTAATAATGCATATTCAGAATTTTGTTTTTTTCTGTATTTTTCTTTCATATATATATATATATATATATATGATTTGCGTATTCATTATCTCATACCTTTAAAAGCGCCTCTTAATACACAAAAAAATACCATTTTTATTTTATCTTTCAATTAAGAGCAATGTTTCATCCTTAGCATTTTTTTCAAAATGGGTGATCTTTTATTATTACCGTTCTCAAAACCTATTTACCTTTTAACAATTTACTAAAGAAATGCGATAGTGTGCAGATATTTCAAAATAATTCCATCCATTTCCTTTATTAAATTATTCACGTTCTTAGATTCTATAATTTGCAGTTTCTCCTCCAGGCATAGACTGGTAAATAATAATAAATAAGTAAAAAATAAACTGAAACAAATACAGAAATTGCAATCGATGCAATGAATAAAAGGAATGAAATTATCTCGAACTGTTGACGTAATCTTTTTTTTTAAAACGTATAAAGGATAATATATATCAACATTTAACTATTTTTAAAAATTACTAAGCGTGAAACAACGCTGTAAATAAAACAAAATAGTCACTCACACACACACACACACACACACACACACACACACACACACACACACACATATATATATATATATATATATATATATATATATATATATATATATATATACGACATTATTTCTTATTTCTATAAACTTTATTTTTAATGCCTAGACGGGTTTGAATTGCTATTCCTGTTTATTTTTTTAATTTTAATATTTCTTTTATTAATTTCTCTGTTTGCCCAATGTAACGCTTATATAACGGATTAGATCTTCCTGGGCAAGCATCTGATAGGGATGTTTTGAAAAAAATCAACCCCTGAGCCTGTAGGGGTCCCAGCAACAACTCAAACAAAACACTGAAAGAATAAAAACTGCCAATAATTTTCGAAAAATAACATTTTTTAAAGAAAAATAATTAAGAAAATAAAATGGCCTAAGGGGTTGAAGGCATCTGATAAACCTATAACAAGTATATACATACATATGTTTTGAGGACATATATATATATATATATTTATTAAAGACATTTTATTTATGTTTAACGTTGTTATCATGATAAACAGTATTAAATAACATTTAATTTTCATAGAAAATATTAGTTCATAGTTGTCCTATACGGAACCCTCCAGACGTGCCTTAACCACTCGCCTGAACCTTATGGTAGACAAGGTCGAATTTACTGTCCCAGCTATAGAATCAAATATGTTAAGTTACATCCAAACTTTAACGAGTCAAAAAACACTGAAAGAATAAAAAATATTTTTCAGATCAAAAATGCATCCATACGCTGACGTGCAATACATTTTCGTAGTAAAAAATTACCAGCAATACATTTTTTTTTTAAATTTTAAAATTGAGAAATTTTATTTTAGTTCAAGACTAATGCAAGTCTCAAGAAAATAAAATGGCCCATAAGGGGATTGATAAATTAACCTTAAACAAACAAAAAAACTAATATTTTCTATGAAAATTTCTCGAAACCTATAACAATTTAAAGACATATTTATGTTTAACATACATACATACATACATAAAATAACAACGTTAAACATAAATAAAAATGTCTTTAATAAATAAATTGTGGCACACACACACACACACACACACATATATATATATATATATATATATATATAACAAAAAATGCGTGAGTGTATGTATTTGAGAGAGAGACAGAGATAGATATATAGATAAATATATGTATGTGCATTGTGACAACATGTATGTATTTTGTTTTCTTTGCAATTAGTTTTAAAAATACCGCGTCTAAAATTATCGTGCTATGATAATGACTTATAAATTACGAAAGTCCTCAGACATCGAACAATTTACATTCAAATATTCATTGAGAACCAGAAAAATGGTATGAAAATATTCTTAACAGATATATTTCATCAGTTTTTAAGCAAACATGTAAAATATACAAAATATACTAGCTTAAAAGCTTCCTTGAGTGAGCTCCTGCGCAGGGCTCATGATTGGATCTTTGGTTTGTTCAGGAATTTGAGAGTCCCTAAATCTTTGTATATTCTCAACATTGGATGTTTTCCTGGCTGCCGTTTGATCTGGCTTTTTATTTGCACTAGACTTTCTTTCAGTGCAGCCTTGGTTCTTTTGATTGCAATCTGGTCTTCTGTTGGCAGAGATTTCTTTTTGTGAGTCACACTGATGTCGTACGAGATAGGCAACAATAAACCACACAACTCAAAACTGATCACTGCATTTAAGTATTGCATTAATATTTGAGCTTGCCTTTTAAAAGTTTAACGATAATTCCCCTGCTTGCCACCTAACTTAAAGACAATATAATGTACGCAGGTCCTTACTTTCCGCACAAAGAATTATTTTTATTTCATGGATGACTTTCGCAGAATTTTGCAAGTAACTTCGATTATTCACAAATTTATTTTCAGCTTATAAAAAATGTTATCGTCACAGAATTTGTCGCAAAAAATCACGCAAAAATCGTCGAAAACAACCGCAGTGATGAAAACTTGGGAATCCAAAATTTCAAGAAGGCGGGTGTGCATCTAGCCCGGAATATTTTTAATTCGTTCACGGAGTCGATCTGATTCCAAAATGTTATCATATGTTGGGCTACGGCCTCTAGGAGTAAAGTTGAAAAAGTGTGACACACTGACATTCGCATTTATTTATATAAATTTTATTGTACCTCCAAGTCAGGATGCACTACCGGGGAACAGTTAAAATAAGTTCATGGAAAACAGACTCATTCTTCAGTCTTCATAGCTAAATGCTAACATAGGATCTTCATCACACACAGACGTGATTGCTTGCTTGCCTGCGCGCGCACACACACACACACACACACACACACACACACACACACACACACACACACACTGGCAATCTAATATTGCTCTTAAAATAGTTAAGTCGAGTTTCCGAAGAGGAAAGATCATTTGAACAATTATCATAAAAGTATTTATAGAAAACGCAGAGGGAAATTACGTTATGGCAGTGAGAATGTGACTGAGACCGAGATGCCTGGTCAGGACTGATAACATAGCATATTCGTCTTAGGATTTGTCAAAAGTCTATACATTTATAGCAGAATCAGCAGGCCACCTGTTGCAGCCATATTCGATGAGCAGGTGAATGGTTGACTCATAAATTGGTGAGACGGATTCTACCAAGAAAAAGTCTCTAGCACAACATAGTGAACGAACTTTCCTAGCTGCAGACGTAGCAATTGATTCAATATAATCACTTAACTTCGTGTCAGTGGAAAACAATAAACCGAGAGGGCGCAATATATTACTCCCCTAGAAGTTAGCATCAGCTATAAAAGGCAAACAAATTTCACTAAGGTATTTTAGCGAGCAGTTTCGGCTTGGAGGTGTTAAAATTAACTAACTATTTCTTGTTCTAGTTAATAACAGATTGAAGGAACTTTTCGAGATCTGGTGTCAATTAAATCTTAATCTGACAGATTTACTATTAAGACAGAAGTAAATATTATTGCCGTCAACTTAGAAACTGAATTGGAAGCTGATATAATCAGGAAGGTCATTGATGAAAATAGGGAACACAGTAGGTCCAAGCATAGAACTCTGGAGATACCTGCATTAATGTAAAAAGATCAAGAAGAGTGGCCGTTCAAGAGAACATCCATTATGCAATTTGGTAATAAAGATTAAATCAAATTCGAAAATCGGCCACAAACTCCATAAACCTTCACGTTGTGAGGAAGTCCAGCATGCTAAAGCCTGTCAAACAACTTCAATGTATCTAAAACATTCTTATTTAAAGTTTGACAGTCACTTTCAGCAATAACCACTAACACATCGACGATTGATCTAGAGAAGTGAAAGCCATATTGTTTGTCTGAAAGAAGACACTGTGAACTGAGATGTTTAACAAATTTGGAGTTGATTAGTTTTCTAATGGGTTGGTTGTTCACCAGATTTTTTAAAAACTACAAAAGAGGATTTTATTGCTGAAAATGAAGAAACTGCAAGGCATCTATTTTAGAGCTTGGTGACAACAGGGGACAGTTCAGGAGCACATTACGTAAGGACAATTGCGGGAATATCTTCGAGTTCACATGATTTGTGTAGATCAAGTGTGGAGATGATAGCAAAACCATGGATGGTTTTGTATGCATATCACACAGAAGAGACTCAGTTCTAATGAAAAAGTCTGTCAGAGTTACTCCTGATGAGCTGAAAGTAGAACTGGAAGAGAACTTACGAGCAAAGCATTTTCCTTTGTTAGCAGAAGATGATAGTACTTCCAATCCAAATGGTTCTCGCTTTCTTCGCTGCTTTGATCGCCCCGGGAAACGTCATTAGGAAATATTAACAGTGTTGTATTAATCGATAAAATTGATATTTAGTAATCATATAATGAATAATTCACCACAGTTTTAATACACTTCTTTTCATCAGGAGAAAAATAAACATGAATTAAACTTGTATGGATTCCTCTTTACATATTAAATAAACGGGTTTCTCTTGAATATACAAAACTTATCCGGATGTTTATATAATCATTTAATCATTTTTTTATTAGTGTCGTCGTCGTCGTCGTCGTCTTCGTCGTCTTCTTCTTCTTCTTCTACTTCTTCTTCTACTTCTTCTTCTTCTTCTACTTCTGCTTCTTCTTCTTCTTCTTCTTCTTCTTCTTCTTCTTCTTCTTCTATTTGCAGGGTTATTTCAGACATAGGCGAGCATGACTCACATTGAAACACCGGTTCTCGTATGATCACCGAAGTTAAGCAACGTCGAGCCTGTTTAGCTCTTACATGGGTGACCGTTTGGTAATACCAGGTGCTATAAGCTTGGATGTGCTCGTAGTTTAATGGATAACGGAACAGAATTTTTAGTCAGAGAACCAAGTTTCAATTCCAGTTGAGTTCTTTGTATTCACATATGCGCAAATACCCCTGGGAAAGCTATGAATCCACCTCTTCTCCCCTAGCAAGATTTCTTACAATCTAAAAATATTTTCTGGCTTTAAATAACCTGCAAAGTGTTGCTAATCCGTAGAAAATCAATGAATCAATCAACATATCTCCTAATCCCATTTCAGTTTACCATTTACATAAATTTGTTAGGTAGGTTATTTGATGCTTTTCTTGGTCTCTTTTGCCTTCAATATTTCCTTTGAGTGTCAAATTTTCCAAGCCCTCTTTCCTCATTATGTGCACTAGAAATTTCAGTAGTCTTTTTCTGATTTTAAATATAAGTGTCGTTTTAGTTTCCATTTTTTCTCTAAAACTTAGACCGTAATCAGATGTTCAGCCCATGGGATATTCAGTATCCTTCAGTAGTACCACATTTTCTGTGACCTCAAGTTTCTTTATTCGCTATGTTCATTCAGGATGCGAGAGATCAAATCTATCAAAAACTTCTTACCTCTCGTTACTCTAATTCTTGTCCCTTTACAACACCCTCCTGCCTTTGTAGCCCATTGGTTGCCATCAGTTCAGCCCAAATATCAAGTAGGTTGGTAGGTATTTTCCCTCTTGTTTCGAGTATGGCATGCAAATATTAAATACTGGGATCTCTCGTTATGGAATTAATGAGTAAATTTTAGCTTTCTCTTCAGACTTTGTTTCCTTGTAGTACTTATGTTACTTAAAATCCAGCGTTTCTCATATTCTGTCAATGGGACACTCAATATAGGTTAGTAGAACTACATCTATGAATGTTCAAGACTCTTCATTTGTTATGAGATTGTGCAACCTTCGTTGACATACACGTTGACTGCTATTTTTACAACTGACCAACTAATTGCACGTTAAGATAAATGCAATAAAAATGAGATCTGCGTAATCTTAATCAGCTTAATGAGTTGGACCTCTTGTGCTGCTAATTTATTTTCTGATGACCAAGGAAGTAAAAATAGTTTTAACTGTTAACTGTTGCTCTGTAAAACCCTTTCTTTATAATGCTTTTTCTGCCTTAATAACAGATTAAAATTAATTTCAACTTTAGATTTATAGATTTGATGTTAATAGCTGGATGTCTCTCATTCGTAGTTGCATACACAACGCAAACTTCAGGTGCTGAGAATTAAAAATTTAAATCCCGTCTATTTTAAATAATTTTTTATAGCTTCAGGTCCATCTATGCTCTTCTACTCAAATCCATCTCTCCTTGCCACTGGCGTCTTTCGCATAGTAAAAATTTTTTCCCTTCCGTTCTGTCGTGCGACGATCTCGTGGGGTAGAATCTATGACTGATGCCAAATTGTTCGTGTTTCGATTCCGGCTTTGAAGCAATCGGATGTCTAGCCACACTGATGAACTGTAATACAGCCAAACAGTCTGTCTGTGGTTGACTATATATGTATATATATATATGTATATATTGAAAATACCATTAATCCCGTTTATTTTATATATAAAATATAAAACTCGTATATATATATATATATATATATATATATATATATATATATATATATATATATATATATATATATATTGCATTTGGAAACTAGAATCAATCAGCACGTAACCTTCCAAAATACGACTTGGTAAGATAGATAGAATATGCTATCTTCCCCCATGAATATGGAATCGGCTATTGCTCAACATTTAGTTGAGAATATAGCCTGCGCCAAATTGTTTAAAAAAGTTGTTTAAAATTATTCGTACAGCCGATTCCAACAATCATTTGAAGATTTTGAATCGGTCTGCATCGGATTAAGAAACCTTCTCTCTGCCGGCAGAAAGAATTTGTAAAGTCTCTTAATCTGTTGGGGATATTTTATTTTAACTGTCCCTCGCTAATTTATTTACACGATTATTTCCCTCCCTCGTTACAAGTATATATACTTGTTTGTTATTTTAGTGTGTTTCCCCCTTTTTTACTCTTCATTATCGTTAATATTCTTTTCGCTGATCCAACGATTGTCTCCTGATGAGATGTTGGCTGAAAGGGCCCTAGAGACTTTTAAAATTAAAATCAATGCATTCCTTGTTTTTAAAATTATATAGAAATTTTGTACCTCCAAACATTTGTTTATATATATATATATATATATATATATATATATATATATATATATATATATATATCTTTTTGAATTTGTAGGTCTGATGAACTGAATCGTGATTACGATTCAAATGTGACAAATTATAACCATGGAATATTAGTGTTTGAGCCTTATATATATATATATATATATATATATATATATATATATATATATGAATCGGTTTGTTTTTTGAGATAGACCCACATAACCATATATATTCTAAAACTACATTACCCTAGGTACTTGGATAAGTATTAGTTCTCTCAGTTTTCAAACAGATGGCCTTCCTAGAACTGCAAGCTTGTAGTTTCAAATGGTAAGGCATCTATAAGGACGTACTACAAGCAAGCTTGGAATTCAGCGTATGTCATTTTGCCGATGTGTAAACAACTTTGTTTTTCAAAGCGTGGAATATGTCGGATATCGTACCAAAGAAAGTGTAATTTTGCTGCACTATTTTATTCAAAAGAAATCTGCAGCTGAAACACAGAATTCTTGTTGAGATTTACGATGACCATGCTCTGTCGGAAACATCATGCTGAGATTGGTTTAAACACTTCAAAAATAATGAATTTGGTGTTGAAGATAAAGAACGCTCTGGCGCACCGAATAAGTTTGAAGAGGAAGATTTGGCGGTATTAGTTCATGAAGACTCATGTCAGAAGCAAACGGAATTTGCAGAATCGTTAGGAGTTGATTACACAACAGTTTCGAAACGTTTGAAAGCATTAGTAATGATTCAATTGGGTGCCGTACAAGTTGAAGCCGTGAGACGTCGCACGGCGTCCTGTCACGTGTGAACAGCTGCTTTAATGACAGAAAAGGAAAGGTTTTTTGCATTGTATCGTGACTGGCGTTGAAAAGTGGATGCAATACGATAACCTTAAGCGTAGAAGATCGTGTGCTAAGCCCGGTCATTCACCAACATCATCGGTAAATATCCCTGATTCGAATGTTCTGCTCTGAATTTGGTGAGATCAGCTGAGTGTAGTTTATTATCAGCTACTCAAACCGATCGAAACCATCACGGGAGACCGCTATCAACTACAATTGATACGTTTGAGCTGAGCATTGAAGAAAAAATGGCCGCTATATGAGAAGAGACACGACAAAGTGATTTTGCAACATGAGAAATCGAGGCCATATGTTGCAAAACGGGTGAAAACCTACTTGGAAACACCTAAATGAGAAATCATACCCCACCTGTCGTATTAATCAGATATTGCCCCGTCCGATAATCACTTGTTCCGATCCATGACATATGACCTGGCTGAGTAGCACTTTCATTTTTATGACGATGCCAAAAATGGTTCGACTTGTGGTTAGTCTCAAATGACGTGTCATTTTTCCGACGTGTAATACAAATGCTGCCAGAAAGTGACATGTTTTTTAATAATATTTTTAAATAAAACATTACCTTTCATGAAATGTCAGCGCGAACTTATTCAAGGTTCTAATATATTTCAGTTTGATCAAAGGGTGTCCCCAGGGGCGTGGGCACTAACCCCACACTGCAATTTTTTTCCCTTTGATATAAATTAAATTTAAATATACAAGGAGAAAGCCAGAAGACGGAGGTCAAATTGAGTAATATTGAAATGTATCATTTTTCTCCAGAAATTATAACAACGATTTACAAAAAAATTGTGACACGCAGGTTATTCGGTCAGTATATATATATATATATATATATATATATATATAGAGAGAGAGAGAGAGACAGACAGACAGACAGACAGACAGACAGACTAACAGAAATCCAAATCCAAATCCAGAGGCTTTTCTTTCCTGTTAAAGAACCTTTCTCTGTATGACATCTAACACTGCCTATCTTAGGTCATACGAGAGCATGTGCAGCATAAAGCATCAGGTCAGAGCATCTGGACATCTTGCCTTTAACCGTTATTTAGTTCTTTATCACTGCCTTGTTTACGACTCTGTCACTTAAACAGGTCATCAACATATATATATATATATATATATATATATATATATATATATATATATATATATATATATATATATATCGCTTGAGGATGAAATGGAACTAATGCTTTTTAATTTAATTGCAAAATTAAATTCGGGATTTTAGCTTCTATTTTGAAACATGGTTAGAACTGTATAGCGGAAAAAAAAAACATATTTTAAATCAATTAATTTAAATGTATGTAATTTATATATATATATATATATATATATATATATATATATATATATATATATATATAGAGAGAGAGAGAGAGAGAGAGATGATGAGAAACCACCATCGGTTAAAATCCATCGAAATCTCAGAAAAAACAGCGAACAATATTTTTTCCGAAAATTAGTCATAAAAGACGTAAAACATTCTCTTTTCACATGTAGAGTGTGAAATAAGTGATAATAATATAAAATATCGAATTCAATACCAATTATATTCTGTGTTTCCTTCATTCTTTCTATTCTGCGCTCTTCGCGAGTCTCTTTGGACGCATTTTACTTTTTGCCCTCCGTCAAATCATTGTGCTTTCTGTCTGTCTTTTTCACTTCCAAGGTCGACATCAGCCTGTGGCAGTTGATCGCATGACTGCGCTCTATTTGGCTAACAAACCTCTAAAGCAGTGACATGTGCAGCACCCAGCAGAAACTTGATTGACATCTTTCCACTCCAATGACTTCCCAACAGGAATCAACGGCACACTACTCATGTCAGGGCTAAGTGGCGGCAACTGTGATGGCGACAGGGAACTTTCGCACGCTCACCAGTTAACTTCCTATTTCAAATGACTGTTCTTAAAAATCTATCTATCTA